GACGTGTACATGTGATGTGGTGTTTTAGCTGATGTTATCTATTGAGCTATAGATTTTTATTTGTTGCATGAAAAACCTTGATTTTTTCCTCTGAATGGCTAAGCTCAAACACATACTTATATTTAAAATAGCATTTTCAATGCATTCTTTAAAACAAACTGCAGGAACAGCACAGTCAGCCAACACACCCCTGCCCCCATTTGCTACAACTGATAAGCCTACATAATTTAACAAATTAAAACTTATTTAAGAACAGAGTGGAATTACACCCTTGTGCAACTCTGGAAGCAGCTCGGAAGCTCTTTTACAGCAGACCGGAAGAGAAGTGGCTGGGACCACAAACAAGCTAAAAGGTACTGAGTAGACGCCGAACTGCTCCAGTCACTGTCGGAGGGCCCTTTCAGCATACTTCACATGTACCTCCCATCAAAGCATTCTCTTCACTGAGATAAGAGTACAAACTCACACAGGCTAAGGACCATGCCTAAAGTCAGCTAGCAGCAAGGCAAAATCAGTGTGTGAATCCTGGTAGCATGAAGCTTAAATTAAAAAAAAAAAAAAAAAAGAAAGAAAGAAAAAAGGAAAGAATTGTTTACTTGAAAGGAGAATTTCAGAGAGGGAAGAGAGACAGAGAGAGATCGCCCATTCTCCGGTTCACTCGCCAAACGGCCACAATAGCCAGGGCTGGCCCAGGCCAAAGCCAGGAGCGTGGAGCTTCATCCGTGTCTCCCACATGGCTGCAGGGCCCTAAGGACTTGGACTCCTTCAGCTGCTCTCCCAGGATCTTTAGGGAAGAGCTGAGTCGGAAGTGGAGCCGACAGCACAGGCACAGGGTGGGGGAGGTACAGCTAGCCACATGCAGGACACTGAGCGTTTACAAAGCCAGACAAAGGTGACAGGCTTCTGTTGCCACGGCAGAGAGCTGCTTATTCTTGGAGGTTTACAAGAGGCAGGAGGAAAACAAAAAGATCAACTTGCTCTACAGCCCAACATTAGGAAGCTAAGTCTTCCAGTGTGTGTAATAATGAGGACACAGCCAGTGATATAGATTAAGAATCAGCAGGGGTGAAGGGGGATTGGCCAGAGCTGCTTGAGTGGCCAACAATGCACGTCACAGCACATCACAGCGCCTGGGGTGCATCCCGCCACCCTGCTCCCTGCTAATGGGCATCTTAGCAGGCAGCAGGGGAGTCAGCACCCAGGCCTGAGACCCAGCTGTGTTCCTGCCTGACCTGGGCCTGTGCCAGCAGAGGGTGGCCCAGGTGCCTGGGGGCAAGTGCACCCACACGGAGGACCTGGAACAAGGCCTCGCTCCTGGCTGCAGCCTGGTTCAGTGCTGGCTGTTGTGGACATTTAAGGGGCGAAGCACTAAATGGAAGATCTCTCTCCGTAACCCTACCTTTTAACTATTAAAAAAAATAAAAAAGTAAAGTCTCCAGATGGAGACCTTCTTCCCTAGGAAACTTTGCTTTCATCAAATGAGAAGTCAAAGAGTGGTCAACAGGAAGGAGGTGACCCCGGGTGCAGCTGACTACATACTATATCCACCTCCTAGACGCTTTCTAAACTGTGACAAGGGGAGGGCTGCTTAGGGAGACCCACGCAGCAAGCATCCAACTGAACATACCTCACGGATATTCTGGGACTTCCAGGAAACACTGCGGCCACCTCCTGGCAAAACTGAGCAGCCCAAACAGAGCAGTATCAGAAAGGAAAGAGAATCCTGGCCACTCTTAAGTCCTTCAGGAAACAAGCATGTACTACTGCTTACGATGTGCGCTTTCAAAGCATGGGAGACATCTTGAGCGTCAAACACATGTGATGCAGTGACTGTCATTCTTTCTAAAATTAACTCTGCAATTGAGAATCGTTTTCTGGGAGTTTCTGAAGCTGCCTAGAATGTGGTTATCATGTGGGGAGGGAGGTGGGCAGGCATGTGAAAACTGTTGGAAGAGAAGAAACAAGGCAGTACCTGGAGAAAGAGCCCTGCCCTGTATCTGTTCACCACCACACGCTCAGCCCTCAAGGCTCCAGCAGGAAGGGATCGTCCAGGCGGACACAGCCAGCGCGTGGATGACGACACTGCCTCCTCACCAAATGTCCTGGAGTTCACGAATAAATTACCCTCCACAGCAGAAGTGGATCACATGCCCTTGCAACAGGGCCGATGAGACTGTAAGGAACCCCAAAAGGAAGAAAAGGAGGCAGAGGAGCTGGAGCAGATGCAGGAGGGGGCTATGAGCCAAGGGAAGGGGGCGCACCCCGAAAGACGCAACAGGAAACACCACAGAACTTTCTCAGCATAGCAGAAAGGAGCTCTGTCAACATCTGGATATTGGAGCACTGAGACCCCACCAAACATCTGTATTGTTTAAAGTCACTAAATTTGTGGAACTTGGTGACAGAAAAAATGGAAAATATGGCAGGCTTTTTCTAATCCTCAGAATTCAGGAATAAGCCAGAATAATTATTTAAAAAAAACCCTATAATCCAGGATTCTGCCAGTCTGTGCTGTTCGCTACCACTCCTCAAAGAACTAAATACAGAAACTGAGTCTATTTTTGCAATTTCACATCTCTTGAATCCAATTTATCAAATCAAGCTTATGGGTCTATTGTTTTCAATTTGCTTATCCACTAATTTTTATCACCGCTTTAGAAACGCACTGGTTGAGTCTGATGGAAATTGTATTTTTTAAAGTACAAACACAGGTCAGAACACTTGCCAAAGATTGTGATGATGGCTAATTGTTTCATCTATACTCAACGGAGTCATCGGGAGGCGCTGTGTGAACAGCACCGAGCCGACCCTGCCACTCCTAATCTGAGTTCCATTTACACATCAGCGTGGACAGAGCCAGGCCAGCACTTAGACGCCGCACAGGACGCGCCTTTCAGGAGAGACCTCGGCCCTGAGCACTCGGGGCAGAGGTGCGTGCAGGACCGCGCTCTGCCCCAGGTGCTCGGCTGTCTGCTTTACACGTCCGTGTGGACAGAGAGGGCCCAGCATGTAAACGCCACACGGGGAGATGGAGACACGCAGCCATGCCGGGCCATCCTGCCCCGCCTACACATCACGGGCGAGGCGCCGCCCCTGCGTCAAACCCCGCCCACTGCGGCCACGCCCCGAAACACTGCGGGCGGGGCCCCGCCCCTGCCTGGCCACGTCCCGCCTTTGGCTCCGCCCCTTCAGCCGCCAGCGGAGACCCGTCCCTTCCTGGCCCCGCCCACCAGGGTACCGACCAGTCCTTGTCCCCGCCCCACTTTGACCGCGCCCACCAAGCCGCCGGCGGAGACCCGCCTCTACCTGGTCATGTCCCGCCTCTACCTGGTCATGTCCCGCCCTTGCCCCGCCCCGCCCCGCCTGGCCCCGCCCCCAGCCCGGACTCCCGCGGCCTGAAGGCAACGCCCGCTGGATGTCTCACCCGCCGCTGCTCCGCCTTTCGCTGCAGCTCCGTGTGTCGCTCTAACGCGCTCGCGAAGCCGCCGGGACGCATCCCAGGGTCCGTAGAGTCGGGACTGCCGCTGTCGGAGCCGCTCTCAGTACCTGCGCCCCGAAAGAGCCTGCAGGAGCGAAAGCTTCGCAGGAAACGGCTTTCGGCAGCCACGGCGCGGGCCCGACACAGCGCCGCCATGACGCTCTCACCTCTGACCTTTGGCCTGCGTTCCGCCAGCGTGCGGGTCACGGGGCGGAGCGCCGAGCGGCCCGCCCACCGGCATGGCTGGGTGTCCGGCTGGAGCTCGGCGGCGCGGGCTCCAGGCGCCTGCGATGCTGGGCAGTGGGCTGTTTGTCTTCTTCCGTCCTCGATGGCCTCAGGACCCCCCTGCGCACCCTCAGGATCTCCCTGACTGCTGCACCACACTGTCCGGCTTCTCTTCCGTGCATTACTTCCTGTTAAGCACAGGCACTTTCCCGTTTGGGATCCTAAACGCCGGGCTAAGTAGACACCTGCGGAACTCTGGATCCGCGTGTCCTCGGACACTTCTGCGTCCACTCCACCCACCTTACCAACATTGCAATCCTAAACACGTTTGGTCACCGCAGGGCAGCTACCAGCCTTTCTCTAAGGGAATTTGAGACTTTCGGAATATTCCCAAACACATCCGTAGCAGCAGATGCCACGCGCCCGCCCCCTCTCTCCGATTATTGCAGTAATTTGCCCGCCGAGTTAGAGGAAGCGTTTTGTTGTTCTCTTTAGAAGTTCTTGAAAGAATTAGGTCTTCCACGAGCTGTTTTATTATCCAAGCAGCTGCAAGAGTCAGATCAGGGGCAAGCACATTAGCCGGGAGCAGGATGGGAATTGGAGCAGCTGGGATTCAAACCTGTGCTCCCATTTGAGAAGATGTGTCACAGGCAAGGCCCTGGTGGTTTCCTTTTATTTACTTAAGATTTACTTTTATTGGAAAGTCCGATATACAGACAGAATGAGACACAGAGAGTAAGATCTTCCATCCAATGATTCACTCCCCAAGCAGCCGTAACAGCCAGAGCTGAGCCAATCCGAAGCCAGGAGCCTGGAGCCTTTTATGGGTCTCCCACATGGGTGCAGGGTCCCAAGGTTTTGGGCCAGCCTAGACTGCTTTCCCAAGCCACAAGCAGGGAGCTGGATAGGAAGTAGGGCTGCCAGGATTCGAGCTGTCACACATATGGAATCCTGGTGCGTGCAAGGGGAGGACTTTAGCTGCTAGGCAACCGCAGTGGACCCCCAGTTGGGTTTTAAGAGCTGTGAAGAAACACATGAGCCAAACACGTTCTGCAGGCCGCATCTTGTCTGGACCCTTACAGAGCAGTCGGGCCGGTCTCTGGGAGCCAGCATGCTGCAGTGTGGATTCAGCGTAACTGCTTGGGGTGTGTCAGCCATCCTGCAGAGATGGTCAAGGATGAACCTGCTTGGCCCTTTCCTCCTAGACGTGTATACAGAAGAGCCCAAACCCAATTTACAGAATTTTGGTTGTTATCCGATACTATACCAAAAAAAGTGTGTAGATACCAGAGCCAGATACAGTCCGAATTGTTTTTTCTTTATTCCCAACGGTTACTTTGTTGTTAAAACAATAATCCAATTGAGTTCTCTTTGAGTACTTTGTCCTCTAAAGATAAGATTTGTTGCTTTATTATACACACACTCAATTAAGGGTTCATTTTTGTAAGCTGATTTTTTTTTCACCTTTTCCATTAAACTTTATTATCACATCCTAAATATCACTCATTGTTTTTGTGTCAATGACAAAACACAATAGAGTAACCAATCAGAATTCCCTATGTTCCAACCAAATTGCTATATTCCAAATTTCTTGCGTATCTGAACTGTTAATATTGGATATGCCACTACGACCATGTTGAATATCTTTCTAAATCCATTCTTTTCATTAATTCTTTTAAGAGGCAGACCACAATAAAATTTCTGAGATGACGTGCAGGTAAGGTTCAGACAAGTTAACTCCAATTCCTTCTCTCATTGCCATCCCACTTCTTCTTCACAGTTGATTCTTTAAGTATAAAACACAACAAACTGCTTGCAAACCATTGGTCTCATAAGAAACGCTGAGCTCCGTGCCACTGATGTACAGATTTTATTAAGCTTTTCACATGGAAGAAGAGCGTAGCTTCAGATGCATCCAAGCACAAACAGTCCCAGCAGTCAAGAATGACAGCACGTTACCGCAGGACAGTCAACACTGGCAGCATTTCCAATCCGGCTTTTACAAGAGAATTTATCCTGAAATAAATCTAGTCATGCTTGTTCTTAAAAAAAAAAAAAATGCTAAAGGTCACTCCAGGATTGGCAATGAACGTTTTGCATACACAATAATAAAACAATCACAGCTTGATAAATAACAAAGACAACAGTGTAGTATAAATGCTGCATGAGGAAGTGGTGCTGAGGTGACTAGAGGGAGGACACGTGCAGAGGCCTGGATCCCTCAGCCCTGGCAATCGTTCTCAGAATCCGGGGCAACGTCTACAGTGTAATGCTATAGTTTCTAACAGGCAGGAAACCAGTAGAAAATGAGGAGTTGATTTTTGTTACAGCATCACATCCTCAGTGTACAAAATGTTCAAGTTATATTAAGCATATAACATCATGTGCTTCTTTAAACTGAGGCTACATAAATTACTGGAACACAGCAATGTTGTCCCTAATGGCATTGATTTTAACATTTTTATAGCTATCTAGGGCTTTAAAACATTAAAAAAAAAATTACAGTCTTTTGAATTGGACGTTGAAGACCATGCACAGATTTCAAACTACTGATACTACAATATGCTTGATTCAGTGTTATTGTAAGTTTATTCAGAAATTAAAATTTTAATCTGATTTAAAAAGTAAGTGGATATGAGTGGTATAATTGCTAGTACACTGAAACGATTACTGCCATAAATGTGGATAAACAAGGATGTGGGGGGTGGTGGCTTCACTCGGGTCACCTAGTAGCTTGAATTTCTGCAGAGTGCCACAAAACTAGAACAAATCACATGCAGAGCTGTTTAATCTGATGACATAAAATACAATTTGTACTTTACACCAAAACAGTGTTTATCCAAAAATATAATTACAGCAAGTAGTTCTTCCCTTGGAGATAAAGAAAACAATACCAAAAAATTCAATAACCAGGATTCAGAAAAATCAGAACAACTTCAGCTATGAATCAACTGTACAGAGTCAAAAAAAAAAAAAAAAAGAAAGAAAATATTAGAGGAGCCAGAGCAAACTGGCATCCAGAACAATCTTTATAAAGTGAGAAAGCAACTAAGAGAGCCTGCACAGTCCCAGATCATTCCAGTGAGTGTCCTAGGAGTGTTTCCGTGTTTCTTCAACAAAGGGCCCGAAAGCACGCTAGAGGGTGTTCCCAAGAAGAGGGGTGAAAGTACTTTCCTTTTGTGTAACCCACAGACTATTTGGTCGGAGAAATATGTAAAGCTAAATAAGAGCACATCTGGCAGAAATCCATGGCGATGAATGCTGACAAGATGTGCTTGGATCTTGCTTGCAGCATCTGGCAGTGGGTGGCACAACAAAGGGAGGAAGCTCACAGGCCCTCCTGTGTTTGCTCCGGAAGAGGCTCCTCAGCAGTGGCACTGGCGCTGGCAGCCGAATTCAAGACTTCTCCGAAATCACCGCCAGCAGGCTTGGTTCCCCCAACTTTGTACTTGAATTAAAAAATAAAGTTCAAAAAGGGGGAAGAGACATCATGAAACAAAATTAGCTAGAGCACAAAGAAATTCTTTCAAGAACAACTAAATCAGGATCCCAATAGTTTAGGGGGACTGGATGTGCAGAATTTAGTCCCACTGTATTCTTCAGTGTACTTTCAAAAGAAAACTTAAGCACTCCTCGTAGCTGAAATATTCAAACTAGTACATTTTCTCCACTTTTCCCCCTTCCCCACTAATGATTAATTATTCCACAAACTGAACTCTATACTACTGAACTCTACAGTTGGATAAAATTTTGTATTGTATCAAACTGTTCCTTTAGATACCATAACTGAAAAATACTACTAAATATACATTTTAAAGGAATATGTATTTCTCCTACTTCACTTGAAAGAGTTACAGAGAGAAGGACAGACACTGAGAGATCTTCCATCTGCTTGCTCACCCCTCAAGTGGCCACAATGGCTGTCAGAGCCAGGAGTTTTTCTGAGTCTCCCACGTAGGGGTGCAGGGTCCCAAGGCTTTGGGCTGTCTCTACTGCCTACCCAGGTCATAAGCAGGGAGCTGGATGGGAAGTGAAGCAGCTGGGAGAAGAACCAGTACCTATACAGGCCCTAATGCTAAAGGTTGAGGCTTGGCTTACTATGCCATGGCACTGGCCCATCTTCTACTTCTACTAACCATTTATTACTTAAAATATGGTCCAAGGACCTACAGAGTCAGCAACACCTAGAGGCTTAAGAGAAATGCAGAATCTCACCCTGGCCCAATTGCAACTACATCACCAAAATGCACATGTCAGCAAGCTCCCCAGGTAATTTCTGTGCACATGTTTGGTTGCAACACTCTACTCCAACCTATTTGACTTGAAGCTCTGTCAATAAGCATTGTTGAAATAGTTCAGTCTCAACTCTTGTAAACGCCAGGCTTTGCAAAACTCCTCAGCAACATCCTCTTTGTCAGTAGTGATTCAGGCACTCTCACCATATGACATCTTTAATGTTAGCTGAGCTGACCAGTGAAACAGCTAACATAAAGAAAACAGTGATCAACAATTCAGGAAGCTATTTTGCTCTCTGCTCAATTCAGGGAACTGGCCACAGAATCATCACCAATTGGAATCTAGATGAACAATTCCACCCCACCTCACCATCCCCGTTTTGGTTTTCTATACAAAAAGCTTTAAGTTGTTGAGAAATCTGCCTAACTTGCATCAACTGCTCATTTTTTTTTTTAAGATTTATTTATTTTTACTGGAAAGGCAGATTTACAGAGAGAAGGAGGAGAGACAAAGATTTTCCCATCTATTGATTCACTCTCCAATGGCCACAATGGCCAGAGCTGAGCTGATCCAAAACCAGGAGCTTCTTCCAGGTCTCCCAAATGGGTGCAGGATCCAATGGACGTGGGCCATCCTTCATTGCTTTCCCACGCCACAGACAGAGGAGCTGGATGGGAAGTGGAACAGCTGCAACATGAACTGGCGCCCATATGGGATACCACACTTGGACGTGGGGGATTAGCCAGTACAGCCATTGTGTTGCTCCCTGCTCCAATTATTTTTAAAATTAAATTGTTCTCCTTAATAATAAGAAAATGTTCAAACATGGGCCATCTCCCACTGCCTTCCCAGGTGTCTTAGCAAAGACTTAGGCCAAAAGGGGAGGGACTAGTGCTATGCCACAGTAAGCTAACCCTCCACCTATGGCACTGGCAAACCATATAGACACCAGTTTGAGTTCCGGCTGCTCCACTTCCCATCTAGCAACTTGCTATGGCCTGAGAAAGCAGTGGAGATTGGCCCAAAGACTTGGGGATCCTGTACCCATGTGGCAGACTCAGAAGGAACTCCTGGCTCCTTGCAGCCAATTAGGGAATGAACCAGCAGATGAAACATCTCTGTCTCTCCTTCTATGTATAATTCTGCCTTTCAAATAAAAATAAAATAAATCTTACCAAAATCATATTAGGGCTGGTGTAATAGCTCAGCTAAATTGCTGTATGTGATACTGGCATCCCAATTTATGTCCCAACCACTCTGCTGCCAATCCAGCTTCCTGCTAAACTTCCTGGGAAGGTAGTAGAGAAAGGATGGCCTGGATACCTGAGCTCCTTGCACCTATGTGGGAGACTAGGATGGAGCTTCTGGCTCTTGGCTAGTTATTGTGGCCCTTTAAGGGATGAGTTGGCAGATAAAAGATCTCTCTCTCTCTGCCTTTCAAAATGAATGAATGAATATTTTTAAAGAGAAAATGAAAAAGAACATAGATTGCCTGGATTCCCAACTATCCTCCTGAAAACCTACTGCTTAGGGCAGGTCTCCAGAAGTCACAGTCTTAATAAATGCTCCTTGTAGCAATCTGTGACTTGAACTGACGGCTTTTACTTTAAAACAATATTGATAATCAGTTTATAAATCAGTAAGTAATCATTATGGGAAAATATTTACCTCACTGAAATCAGAGAAATAAAAAAAGCAAACAGTGAATGGCTGATGACAATCATCATGGAATCATATTAATAAAAATATCTAATACTGGAGGATTCAACAAATAACATCCTCTGTATTATGCATATAAATAAGCAGCCATGAAACATAACAAAGAGAATATCTAATGCTAAAGGAAAATGTATATATGCAGAGAGATAGTTAAATATAGACAAAATTTTACTTATTTATTTTTATTGGAAAGACAGATTTACAGAGAAAAGGAGAGACAGAGAGAAAGACCTTCCATCCCAGCTGGTTCACTCCTCAAGTAGCCCCAGTGGCCAGAGCTGAGCTGATCCAAACTCAGGAGCCAAGAGCTTCTTCTGGGTCTCTCCTATGGGTGCAGAATCCCAAGGCTTTGGGCTGTTCTCTACTGCCTTTCCAGGCCACAAGCTGAGAGCTAAATGGAAAGCAGAGCAGCCAGACACAAACCACGTCCATATGGGATCCCGACACTTGTAAGGTGAGGATTTAGCCATTGAGCCATTGTGCTGGGCCCATTCAATTTTTTTTTTTTTTTTTAAAGCACAACACTAGTCCTACCTATCACTGTCTCTGGATGCTAAGAACAATTCTTCCCTTGTCTGTGCTTTCCATAAAAATACTGTTGTTATCTACAATAAAGATATTTAATCGTATGTGAATTACAAGAGAATTTCAAATGAATGAAGTGTGGACATGCAGTGTGGGCAACACTGCATCCTGTGTTGAAGTGCCTGGTTCACGTCCTGCTCACTACATTCAATCCAGCTTCCTGCTAATGTGCCTGATACACTGTCAGATGCTGCTGCAAGAAGCTGGGCTCCTGTGGCCTGAATGGAACGTATGGCTCCTCACAACAGCCTGGTCCAGCTCTGGCACAGACGGAAGATCTCTCTCCCTCCCAACTTCCTTTCTTCTCTTTCTCGCTCTGTATTGCTTTGCCTTTGAAATCAATAAGTTTAACTGTTAAATCTCTCTCTTCTTAAAACAAAAAGCGCAAATTTGCTTTTTAAATTTTACATTTCCTTTTAGCATTTAGCAAGCTGCAATGCTACAATATTCACTCAAACCTGAATATAAAGCCTTAAATATCCACTAACATAGACACAAGAGTTCTTAAAATTCCTTAATTACTTTTAGAAAGTAACACTGTTACAAATGATTGGCTCACAGCAAGGACACCAAGGCAGAGATCACAAGAACTCCAGTCAGTGCTACTTGCCTTTAAGTTTTCAACTTTCTCCTCAAAAGATTTGAATGTTGGAGAGTTTCTATGAAGAGAAAAGAAAAACAACAAAATTACATGCATCATAAAGAAAATCATTTTGAGAACAATAATAGCTGACTGAGAAGAGACGTTTCTGTCTGTATCAGGGCATGTCCCAGGCATCTTCACTCTAGGATGAGACTAACAATTTCTGACCTAATATTTCCAGGAGCATGCTGTTGACTCCTTAAAAACAGGCGTGACACATATACAGTCAAGTGTATAAGTGAGAGGCAAATGGGCCAGGCAAAACTCTAGTGCTGTCACTTCCTCCATCCAACCTGTCAGGGCACAAGAAAATACCACCACGGGAGCAGTCCATCTTGGTTAAGGCTCCATGCCCTAGAGTTCCTGTTGAGATTCACCTCTGGCATGGCAGGATCCCTTCCTACATAAACCTGCATCACCCTAGCAAGACAAGCAGGCCGCAGGCCACAGGCATTATCACAGGGACCCTAATTCCCAGGGAGCAAGGCAGCAAGGACAGGAGGGACCAAAAGGAGAAGGCCAAAGCGATGGGCACTGCTCACTTCACAACACTGCCCCAGTGGACAACGAAGCTTGGCAGCTGCCCTCACCTCCATCCACACCAAGGGAGGGTCACACACAGCATGTGTGTCTACCAACACTTTCTCCCCAGCTGATCCTGAAGAGCCTTTTAACCACCCAGAAGAAAAAGCACCCCCCCCCCACCCACCCAAAAAAATAAAAAAAGGTCAAAGGACTTCACCTTCCTACAGTGCAGATGGTAGGGTTCCCAAAGTGTGGCCCCAGCCCAGCCCTATCAGCAGCTCCCCCTGAGAAGGGGGTAGCAATGCAAAGTCATGTGTCCCAGGACAGCCTCACAGAGTCAGGAGCTCCAGGGCTGCAAGCTGTTCAAGCGATGCTGACGTACACTGAAGTGTGGTGCAGGCATAAGATTCCCCTCTCTGCTTCTTTAGGCGGATGAGATGGTAACTAGTCCCACTGATGGAAGCAGATGGCAAAAGGAAATCAAAATTGATTCCCAATGGCTCACTGGGATGAGGGAGGTGAATGAGAAAGAGAAAAGAAAAGGGGAATACAACTAGGGCATAGGCAGACAGAGGAGGTACGACGCCTGCCTCTATGAAAAAAGTTATTAGAATCGCTCACTTTTAATTAAACCAACGTCACATATGAAACAAAGGTGTCGCAAAACAAAATATAAAAATTCCCTGAGAAATCTCACAAATCTTTGATAAATCTTGCCTGTCTCAAGACAGGAACAGTAACTGAAAACTCATACAGTGTTAAACAAACATTTTCTTAGAGTAAAACTCTATACCCCTGCTCCAGGTTAAGTTAAACATTAGGATAGGAAACTGTACAGCCAGCCACATTTTGTAAAAATATACTTTACCTCATAGCAGGCATGCTAATTGAATGTTGAATGGAGCGTATACTAAGAGGCAGCATTAAAAAGAGACAGAAAGGAAGTTAGTACAGTGGTGATCTGACATAAAAAAGCTGACAACACTTACTTTTGGGGAGTTCGATTCTTCAGTGCCGTGACAAATTACCTACTTTTTGAGGAGGGGATCAAAAGTATTTCAACACACTACACTTTCAGTCATATGTCAATTTAATCTTACCAGTCAGAAAGTAGTAATACAGCTGTGTTTTACAGCACTTTTTGAAACTGGTAAGTGCTTCCACCTGGAGCTCCAAAGCTCAGAAGTTAAGTGATTCACCATAAAACATAGAAGAATTAGAACGTGGGTCTGAGGACTTGTTTTTCAAGGTTCACTGCATCCCCCCCAAAAAAGAAAGTGCACACACATACATGTACACACGTATACACACACAGGCTCTTAGGAAATCTTTCTCTCAACCCCAGAAGGTGTCAAATCACCTAGGTGACAATTTCTTTAAGTGTGTTAAAAGTTCCGAGTCACTCCTTATTAGCATCAGTTTTTTAAAATACTTACTTCCTCATCTGAACTATACATTCTTAAATGGTATTCAAATAACATTTGGCCTTCAGTTTTGCCAAGACTAATTTCTCACTGGAAGACCGTGGCGTTTACTGGCTCGGGCTCAAGGCTGTCTACTCTTAACCAACTCCTGGGTGGACTACCTCACAAGACGAACACATCTTAATTGTTGAGCTCAGACAATCATTATATTCTGCAAATGCTACCTCTATGCAGTTAGTATGTATTTAGACATTTACACAGTTTCTTGGGCATATGATCTTTTGGGCAATTCAGTTAAGAGTATTAATTCTTAATTACGCATAAATATTTTGTGTCTTTATAACTGAGTTTTCTCAAAGACTGCTGCTACAAGCAATACTGTGTGTTGAATGTAATCGCTCAAATCTAGTTTTGCAATTAACATGTAGTAACAGAATATGCTCTTGATATACATCAAAATAGGCTGACGTTTTATGTAATCGAGAGAAACAATAAAATATCTAGATATCTCTGTACTTGATGTTTTACATAAATTCAAGAAAAGACACATAGGTCAGCATTCTCTCCTTCCTACAATGATAGTCAATGTGTTGGGTATATGACTGTGATCTGTTCTAGAAGGAATTTGCCAATTCTTTCTCTTTTTGATCTGTCATGGTGTGTTATTGTCAAATCTGAAGGAAAGAGACGAATGGAAAACAACCTTTATATCCAACACCAGGATTCCACCATCATCTCCCCTTCCTCAGATTCTTCTAAAGGAAGCTGCCCAGAATATCATCACTGACAACAGTGAGTGGATCGGTGGAGCAGCACCCAGCACAGTTCCACTCCTAGCGACCCACCCGCTGGGCTCAACAGGAACAGTTAAAACGCCAAGATTCTTACCCTCAGAGACTGTTCATCACACTAAGCTTCCAGACCACATAGAGTGTTCGGGAAGCGGGATGGCGGGGTAGCAAGTCACAGAGACCCTGATGCTGACAAGGATGTTTTGGGCCATCAGGTGGAAGTTGCAGGAGGAAGCCAGCTGTGCCCCTCCCGTCATGCAAAAAAGAAAGGAAGAAGAGAAAAGAAAAGAAGAGAAAAGAAAAGAAGAGAAAAGAAAAGAAAAGAAAAGAAAAGAAAAGAAAAGAAAAGAAAAGAAAAGAAAAGAAAAGAAAAGAAAAAAGAACCCAAATAAGCCCAAAGAGAGGCAGAGGAAATAATGAAGACATGACCATGAAGAGACCAGGGTTGGGTGAGAAAAGAACAGTTTGGGTTTTTTGTTTTTGTTTCCTTGGTTCCCAAATACTATCTAAATTTTTAACTGTTTTTTAGCAGGTGAGTGGGGCCTGGATTTGATTCCTTTCCTCTCTGTGAGTGACAAAAGAACTTATGTAAGCAACATGCTCCCTTTTTAGCTGAGCTAACCAGCAGGTTTTAGCTCCTTACAACTAGGAGATTCTTCACTAGGACATTCATTTGGGAGAAAGCATCAAATTCTGGCAGCGGAAGGTAACAGCCAACCATGACAAACTGCTTGAGTATGGGACTCAACAATAAATTCTACAGTATCAGCAAAAGGAGGAAATAGGTAAAATAGGCATAGGTTTAAGAAATTCCCAATTAGCTTAATTGTTATTTCCAAGCACCTATGTAAAAGATTATTACATCCAACAGCCAGCCAACTGGTTCTGTGCCTCTTTCTCCCAAACACAGCTAGCTCACACTGACTTACGTTAAACGGGAATAAACATATATATATTTGGAAAAGCAAAGAAGTGATTAGAATAAGGCATTTATTTTTTTAATCACTTAGTGGAATTTAGTTTTGAGCACTTTTGCATGTTATATCTCACAATTTAAAAAATAAAAAATATACCCATGAAACAGAGCATGAAATCAATTACTAAAGGAATTTAAAGTCAGTTTCTCTGCTTTTCAGGCATCCACTTCAGTAAGAACAGGGAGTACATGTCAATTTCAGTCCATTCAGATAGGAAATGAAATTCAAGTTGGTTGGGAGTTTGTCCATAATCTGACTATGAGAAGGCTGCTCTTTACTTCTGGCCTCTCTATGAAAAGGGAACAAAGTTACAACGTGCTTCCATGTTGCTGTTGGAGCAGAATCAACTAACAGCACGTAGGGAACATCAGTGCTCATCCACAAAGCAAATTTTGTTAGAATTTTTTCAACCTGGATTTGTAACCCTCAAATACATGCAATTGTAATCAAAGTAGGAATGCAGAGTTCTAAAACACTGAGAAAAAAAAAGTTGGCTAGCAACGTGATTCTCTCTGATTCCCAATTTTCAATTTCATGTTCACTCACTGGAAAACTGCACTTGAAATAGATGAGCTGATGTTTAAAATGTCCTTGTTCCTCACATAGCTGTTTGTTTTTTCCATCCCCAATTATTGTTAAGGGAGGCGGGCAAACAATGAATGAGGCAGGAGGTGAAGGGGACAGCATGAAGGGCTCCTATGTGGCAGTGTTCACCGCGTGCCAAGCTTCTAACAGCTCTCCAACACTACTACTCCATTTTCTCCTTGACACAAGGAAGAAAGTCCTGCAGAGTTCCCAGAGAGACAGTCTTAAACCTCCACTGCTCTTGAATCAGTGTGTATCTGGGTTCAAACTCTGGCCTTCACAGCCATCCGCACTTGCTGGGTAACCTTGGGACAGTCACTCAGCCTCCCTAAGGAAATGTAAGGTGAAGTTTTCTCATCTATAATATAAAAAAGTGAGACTATCTACTTCAGATATTCTATATGCAGGGAATTTTCATGAGCAATGGGAAATCAATTCCAACAAAAAATCTGAAATCCAACTATTCTTAAGTCAAAGAATGAATGAATAAGCAATTATGGTGACTTAGACTCAGAAATTTAAACATGAAAGGTAGAAAAGGCCAAAGAATACACAGAAAATGAAATTAAAGGATAAGGTTACGTTGGTGCAAAAAGATTTTGAAATACATGTGTAGTTACCATAGCCTCGCCTGTTAAATAATTACTTATTATTATTACTGCTGTAGATTATTTTAAAATAAACATTACTTCATCTTAGATATAGTCCCTTATAGCTTTCACATTTTCCCATTATTTTGTATGTTAATTCCAAGTCAGCAGTCTAGATCAATTCTGACACACAGTTAGCATTCAATAAGTGCTTCTGAAGGAAAGGATGAATAAATAAATGTTTTGGAAACTAATTTGAGAAATAAGGGCATGGAAGGTAGACAAGATCAGTGAAGCATTTCAGTTTTGAATCAAAAGATTATCCCTTTCTCTTAAAAAGGAAAAGGGATCTTTTTTCTCCCCATGAAGTAGTGGAAGTTTTCAGCAAAGAAATTGTCTAAAATAACTTTAGTAAATCCCAAGCAAAATTATGTCTAAAGTTCTGCATGAAGAAACACTCATTTAAAAGGGCAAGATATGATTTGGAAATAAAGTTAGTAATCACACCTTCACAACATAAATTATTATAAGATGCTTTTAATAACACTCGATTTTTAACACTGGCAACAATTAAAACAAGAAGGTGTTAAGTTTTGCTCAAAATGTTAAAAGCATGATAGTTAAATCAGATACCTATAACAAATAAGAAAACAGTGGATATCAACTCAACACCTGGGAGAAAGGCTGGCTATCTCCCCAGCTACCATTACTATGTGTTACCTGACTCCCAACGTCTCCTTCAAATACTTCATTCTCAAGCCAAAAGATATCTCTGATGTGTTATGTCTCAACGAGGCATAACACAAATACATTATCAGTTAATGTATTTGTTAACACGTAAAATAAAAGTTGTTACTCAGTCTCATACATTCAAGTTGGAAAGACTAGTAGATTTTCTCCTTCCATACTCATAATGGCATCAGATAGTGGAACAACTAATATGCACTTGTCAGATAAGTTAGACGCAAAGCAAACAGATTACACAACTATTTCACAAAACCACCCATTTGTAACCAACTCCATGGGAGAAAATGCCTTCCTGCTAGGACTGGAACACTCAGTGTCTATAAAGTGCCCTCTTCTCAGGGGCAGGTGTTGTGGCATGGTGTGTTACACTGCTGCTGGGGACACCAGCATCCCATGTGTATGGGATAGAGTCCTATCTTCACTTCACATCCACCTCAGAGGTGGCATGATAACTCAAGAACTTGGATGACTGGTCCCCACATGAGACACCCACATGGCATTCCTAGCTCCTGGCTGCAGGCTGACTCTGCTGTGGTTGTGTGAGCATTTGTAGAGTGACCTAGGAGATGGGAGATCTCCTTCTGTCTCTCCACTCTTTTCAAATAAAATAAATGTTAGGTTCATCTTCACATAGAGTTGAACCTGGCCAGTGTTTGCCTTGGTGACTCATATGAGTCACAAGGTAGATTTCATATAAGTTCATGGAAAATGTGTATTATAGAAACACTACGTATGGAATTTTAAAAAGTCTGTATCACAATAAACATATTTTAATTCCACTTGTCATGAACTTTTAGAAGCTTTCCTCCCAATACACACAAAAACACATTTAATTATAAATAAAATCTGATTTAGTTATCAAGTAAAACTTCTTGACCCAAAAGTGATTCTTTTAAGTACTCTAATTCAATCTTTGATCTGTAATTATCAAGTCAAACCTTCAACAGAAAATCTTCTTTTTCATTCCCAAGACGTAAAACCTGCACATATTGATGTACAATATATATACTCATTTAAAACAAGACTGAAAATGGTGAGTATAGTTTCAAAATTACACTTTTTAATCGCAATAAATGACTACATAAAGAGCCAGAAAAGAATGAATTCAATTTCTGTCTGATGAACTAATAAGCAGTACTTACTGATCCATATACCTAAGTGCACTTATTTAATCTTCAAAGATACAGATGGGCTTAGCATTTGGTCTAGCAGTTTGGATGCCCCCATTTCATCCTGGAATTCCTGGGTTCAATTTCTGGCTCTACCTCCTGATTCTATTTTCCTGCATTCCCTGGAAGGCAGCAGTGAATACCCCAGTAGTTGTATCTCCGTCACCCACTATGAGAGATGTGAACTTACTCAGCTCCTAGCTTCAGCCTTGGTTGGGTTAGTGCAAGTGTCTGGGGAATGAACCAGCAAATGGGATGTACACAGGTAGTCTTGATCTCGGTCTCTCTCTCTCTCCCCCATTCCCTTCTTGTTTTGACAATCTTCCCCTCAAATAAATTAAATAACTTAAAGGTACAGAAAAATACCATGCTCTATACTAATTAAACACAGTCCTCAAAAGTTCATACATATTTTTTATATTTTATATTTATGCTTGTATCACATCTAAATTTATTTTCTAATCAGATAGTAATAAAACTCTTTCATTAAATTGGTGCAAATTCTCACTTACTTCAGCCACTCTGTTCAAGGATCATAGGCTTTATTTTAACCAAAGATGTGCCTTATGCATCTTATGTATATTTTCCTACAATTACAAGAGTTAACTCGTGTAAGATGGAAGACTAACATCAGGAGGCAGGCCATATGTTGCCTATTACAACCGCATAATAGGACCCAGGTGAAGAATTCCAACATCCTCACAAAAGCACCAAAGAAACAAAGGCATCAAAACCAAAAACAAAGTCAGACATTAGAAGGGAGGAATTCTATATGCCATGGTAGAGCTGCTTCTTACAAAAGAGAAAAAAGCAATGCAAAAATCTTTTCCATATTCCTTGAACCTCAGTGTCAAAATCTCCTTTTAATTTATCCATTATCCATGGTATACAAGAAAACCTCCCTTGAAATTAAGAATGCACTAGGAGAAAAAGATACTCCAATGCAAGAAAATTAAGTAATGAACAAACATGACCATCCAACATGGCGTAAGAATCTAATCTCTGCACACTTGTCTCACACAGTCGCTAGGCTGCAGCAAGGGGTCCAACTCTCCTTACCTAAACGAATGTGAAAAAGCTTGCAATCTGTGAGAAGCCGGAGTAAGCATTAAAAAAGAAAGAAGTTCTGGTAAATCTAAAACAATTAAATTACCTAGTTATTACAAGTTGTACAATGTTGTAGCCAAATTTTAAAGTGCTACACAATTCAGCCAGCAAAATAAAGCAAAGACAGCATCTAAGAGCTGTGTACATCAAAGTTGAGATGGTTCAAGAAAGCTACTCTTAGGACATCATGCTTAGAATGAATAGTCCAGACACAGTGAGCAATGAATTGAGTTCTTTTGGCTCAAAGTACAACACAAATACGTTGATTCACCAAACCTATCCAACCAAGAAAATTCTGGTTGTAAAATCTACTTTCCCATCAAAAGAAAAATACAAATTCATGCAATCTCAGCATTAAGAAACAACACAAAACATGCATGCCAACAGAAGCACAGCTGGCTTAAACCACATTTGACATTTTCAGCGCTAGTCTAACCCACACAATGAAGAGAGGCACAAAACACAGCAAGGTAGTTTTGTCATAAGGGCAAAGAAAATTCTGCAGACTCATCTAAAATACAAGTGTAAAACAAAAAGAAACAGCTTCAAAATCAACTTCTGTACCTAAGCATGAAGGCAGATAGGTTAACAGTTAGTACAAATTAGTGCACAAATGAGCATGTTGTAAGGACACTGTGGTGTAAACATGTCACACACACAATGTGAAGCCAAGCGTGCACTTCAATGCTCTGATACTCAACCCCAGGAAGACACCAAGCCACGCGCACAATCACAAATTAGCATACTTACCTTGTACGATCAAGGACTAAAGAGATAAAAAAGTTCACAACCAGAATTTTTCAGCAATCTTTAGGTGGACACCTAAGATGATTACTTTGAAGTCAGAATGCTATGCCTACAGAAATGCAGACAAGCAACTGAGGCGCTGGTGTGAAAGGGTGCTCTCTGCCAGTTAAACGGAGGATGCATTGTGATCCCAGAGCCACAGACAGCAAACAGATGCGACCACAATAACATTGCAATCTGCCCCAGCTACCTGGCCGGCAAGGAAAACCCAGGACATACTTTACGTCTTCCAGCTTCTTGGTGATGACCGAGCCAACGGATGAAAAGGCAGCCGAAGCCTTCTGCCCAGCCTGAGACAAGGTTTCGGAGGTCTTCTTGTATCTATGTGAAGTGATAAACAGGAAAAAAAAAAGAAAGACGTTAAACCTTTTCTAGTGCTGAAAATGACAATGGTCAAAACCTGCTGCGGATTTCTCAAAAATAAAATATTGTCAAGAACTTCCAGAATCCTTCTTGACCACCAGAGTAGGCAGTAGTACCCCACCTTGGACTGAATCACCATTGCTTGTCCCGCTGCAAAGACATGCCCCATAAAGGCAAAGCCAAAGAAATTAGGGCACAGTCTACCAAGAGTCATGAAACAAGGATGGAAACGAGCCAGAGCCTCAAAGAACAGATAATGCATATGTGCCTTTTCCACATAAGCCAAATGAAACTAACATTAAATTTCTTAGATGCCTTTGATAACTTTATCTCCTAAAAAGAACAAGAAGTAGGTCCAGAGAAGTAGGGCTCATCTACATTTTATTATAAAAAACAAACTTTTATGGGCATAAAGTTGTATGTTTAACTTGCATGCCTATAGAGCTATCAAACAAAGACTTACTGAACTCTAGAGTATATAAAATACATTAAGTGATTCTAGTGTGATATTTTCTGTAACACAAGGGTGTAATTTATCAATTCCCTCTTTTTAGCTACCTAGAAATTAGAGGAGGAAAAAGCAAAAACAACGGAAGAATATGGTCTCTATTTGAAAGGTTAAGAGCTACCCATTATGCAAATGAATGCAGTTTATTTTTGAGATTAAAAAAAAAAGCCAGAGAGGGTTATTATAGCAAAGTGAAAAAAGAGTTTTCCACTGCTAACCCATATTACGAGGGTGAGGGGAGTAAGGCACCCAAGGACTTGCCTGTTGGGTATAGTTGGCCTCACTGCTCAGGATAAAACTTTAAGGTGACTCCTAAGCTCACCAGCCAGGCAGATGGGAGCAAAGACCGAACACCAAGAAGGCCTAGAACCTGCTGCTGGAAACAGAACTGCATTATGACAATGCTGTATCATTTGAGTGCTCAACAGGATAAAAGTGGGGCGGGCCTTTGGTGCAGCAGTTAGGATTCTGCTTGGGCCACCTGCATCCTAGGCAGCAATGCTAGGGGGCAATGCCTAGGCTGCAATCCAGGTTCTGCTTCAATTCCAGCTTCCTATTCAGACACATTGTGGGAGCTGGCAAGCTGTGGTTCAAGTAGTTGGGTCGTTTTCACCCATATGGGCAACCCTGAATTGAATTCTCAGCTCCTGGCTTCATCCCAGCCAGCCCATGTTACTGTCAGCAAATGAGAGGGAGGGGGTTAATCAATGGATGAGGGAATGCAGTTTGTGCTTTTCTATGCGTGACTGCCTTTCAAATAAATAACAACAAATGAATAAATGACACACTGCACATATTTGGCATTCTAGTTATTCTCAAGTGGCCCACCCTTTAAATGCAGAGGATACAATCCAAGTCCGCCAGTGAATACCTGTAAAACCGGAAATAACACCAAACCCTCCTATTCAGCTAAGTGACTGGGTGAACATCACCTAAAGCATGGATACTGTGCACAAAGAGATGACTCCTATCTCAGTCATGACACAACGAGACAGCAACAGATCTCATCATCCTGCCCAGAATGGCATGCAGCTGAACTGTCTACTGGTGGGATTTTCCAGCTAATATACATAGACCATGGCTTAAAGCAAAAGCACAAATAAGGGGAGACCACTATGCAATAGCATTGGATCTTGGATTTGATTTCTTCAGTTCTCACTGGGGGTCAGCTGGTTTTCTATTTCCTAGAACAGTATGGAAAACTAAGTCTCAGCCACACTTGAGAAAGGAAAGAGCCCTTCACAGTCCAAAGAAGTGCCAGAGACATATGTGCAGCCCCTTTTTTCTTCCTCTCCACAGGCAAAAGGAGCAAAAGTGTTGTGGATGTCTGTAGGGCACAACATGGTGTCCAGGGGAACGTACGCGGATGTGGCCGTCACGTCCTGCCACCCTTTGGCGATGTTCTGCTTCAGCTCCTGCAATGAGCTGATCCCCAGCTTCCGCTTGAGCTCGGCCAGGTGCTTCTCTTTTGCTGCTAACACTTGAGACAGAGTCTGGATTTCTTCCTCTACCTACGAGAAGGGAAATGAACAGCAAGTCACTTAGTAAATTAAGACCACAGGAACAAAACTACGCTGAAAATTCTAGAGCCATTCTTCTGGTGTTCAAATTCACGTAACCATCAGTTTAAAAATAATATATAATGCTATGAAGTAGATTGTGTCTTCCCATGCTGATTGCTCCTACAGGGCTGTGCTGTTTTCTCATCCACGGGAGTTCTTTCGTGTCCCACCTCGAGCTGCCCTTGACCTTCCACCCTCTTCCTATAGTCCTGCTTAAGAAGGTTAAGAGCTCAAAATGTCCTCTACACGGGTAGCACTCAAAGGATGCTACCATCCACTTCCCTGAACTCTAGGTCAGCCTTTCAGTTATACACTCCACCTGAACACTCACCGAACTGCGGACTCTTATACTAAATGAAAAATCAAAGTCTGTATCAAAATGCACACCATCAAGCCAAAATAAAATCCAACACACACCAGGTGGGTTCCTAGCAGAAGGGCTGCCACCTATCCAGGGGACAAGTACCAGGGGGAGTCAGCTTTGAGAAGCTGAGATGACAGTGGAAGGAGAGGCTGGTAAGCCCTTGAGAAGCCTGGCTCTACGGTTAGGACACAGTCAGAGTTTGAGACTAGGAGAGCTTACATACTGTCAAGGAACTGGAAGCAGAAACTACAATGAACAGAAAAAGAACAGAAGAAAAGGCTAAGTCAGGGGAAGAGAAACAGGGTGGACTCAGAAACATACATCGTGTAGAAGAGACCTTTGATACCAGGACACTGAAAAACTGGGTTCTTAAAATCTTTTCAACAGAAAAGATGTTTCTCTTGAATTGCTGCAGACATTTTCTTAGCCTGGACCTATACAACATTTCTACCATTTCCAAGACAGCATGGTTTTTCAGTTCTACATTCCAGGGGACCTCATAAAGTTCATGGAAAGACAGAATTAAAGGTAAGCCTGTGGATGAGTATTTTCTATTATGGTTAAGTGGTGCTTGGGGCATCCATACCCCAAATCAGAATACCAAACCAGCACTCACATGGGACTGTCAATGATGCAAGTGGCAGCTTAATCCACTACACCACAACACATTGAAAAGAGTAATTTAGTATTTCCCCAAAGCAATTAAATATGGAACTATCATACGACAAAGAAATTTCATTTCTAACTATATATGCAAAAGAAATAAAACTACGCTTTCAAACAATTATTTGTGTGTGTGTGTGTGTGTGTTCTCAGTTCACTAGCCACAAGAGTCAAAAGCTACAAATCACCCCAATATCCACCAATGGAAGAATTTAACAAATCATCTACAAAATATGTAGATACACAGAGCAGAATATTATTCAGCCAAAAAGAATAACGAAGCACTAGGGCTGACACTGTGCTGTAGTGCATTAAAAGCCACTTCCTGCAATGCCAGTATCCCAAGTAGAGCACTGGTTCAAGTCCCAGCGGCTCCACTTCTGATCCAGGTCCCAGCAAATGTACCTGGGCAAACAGCAAAAGATGACTCAAGCATTTGGGACCCAGTCAACCAGGTAAGAAACCTGCATGGAGTTCCAGGCTCCTGGCTTCGGCCAGGCCTACCCCTGGTCCTTGTGGCCATTTGAGGAATGAACCAGTGGATGGAAAACCTCTGTCTCTCTGTCTCTGTGACTCTGCCTTCCAAATAATAAAGATAACTCTTGAAAAAAATAATCAAATACTGACACACACTGTGCATGATGAACCTCAAACACCCTATGCTGAATGAAAGAAGCCAGATAGGACAATAAGACGCTGAACTTTATGCTAGGCATGTGTTTGCAAGCAATGAATCTCAACTGAACTTAAACTATGGTTATGCAACAAGGTGGAGGAATCCACCATGGGGGGAGGGGTATGGGAGGGGTGGGGGGAAGCCCCAGTGCCTATAAAACTGTACTACATAACACAATGTAAGCAACAATTAAAAAAAAAAAAAAAAAAGAAAGAAGCCAGATAGGGTCCAGTGCAATGGATCAGTGGCTAAATTCTCACCTTGCAACTACCAGGATTCCATATGAACACCAGTTCACATCCTAGCTGCTCCATGTCCCATCCTGTTCCCTGCTTGTGGCCTGGGAAAGCAGTCGAGGATGGCCCATAGCATTGGGACCCTGCACCCATGTGGGAGACCCAGAAGAAGTTTTTGGCTCCTGACTAGATCGGCTCAGGTCCAGCCATTGCAGCCACTTGGGGAGGGAACCAGTACAGAGAAGATCTTTCTGTGGCTCCTTCTCAATGTAAATCTGCTTTTAGTAAAAATAAATAAATCTTTTAAAAAAAAGAGAGAAAGGAAGGGAGGGAGGGAGGTAGTAAGGGAGGGAGGGAGAGGAAGGGGAATCTAGATAAAAAGGTCATACATTACATGATTTTAGTACAGGCAATATTCAGAAAATGGTGAACTCTACCCACACAGAAAGCAGACTGGGTGTTGCCAGGATCTGAGGGAGGAGGGGATGAGGACAGCTTGATGACAGTGAGAGTCTCCTCGTGGGGAAAACAGATGTTTGGAACCTGAAAAGGTGGCAGCTGCACCACACCAGAAACATGGCAAAACATCACGGAGCTGTGTTCTTTAGACTGGTACATTTTGCATTGTGTGAATTTCATGGAAGAAAGGATGTTCAGAAAGGCAGGTGAGAGGGATGCAGAGCAGGCTCTGAGTTTCCATCTCAGCACAGTCACGCAGAAACTGGAGCATCAGGAGACCTAGACCAGCAGCACCTTCTCTTCCACCTCCCATTTCCTGGTCTGCCTCTCTTAGCCAACTTATCCCCTAAAGACAGCTACCATACTCCTCTCTCTCCTCTCCCCTGGCTAGGATGGCCAGGGCAAGAACATACACTGTGCTTTCTTGGCACCGGCACTGACTCCAAACTATAATTGTAGCACAAGCTTTAGAAACACAAGCGATGGCACACTTCCGTACCTTTGCGAGTTCCCGCCTCAGCTCTTCTTGCTCCTCCTCGGACAGGTTCTCTGTGGCACTGATGCTGGCAGCAGCATCTTCTGCTTCCTCGGGTACAGGGTCCGTCCTCAGCACACCTTTGGTAGGGATTGAAAATAAAGTCTGTAGCATCAAAAAGCCATGGAAGATTCTCCTCAGGCTGCTCCCAGAACAAAGACAATCGGGCTAGAGCAGCTCACACTGCCTCGCTGAACCAGCAGGTGGTCTGGTACTGCCAGAGAAGGGCCAAAGAAGAGCCTGGACGAGTGCCTGAACCCACTACTTCAGAAGCCGCCAAAGTAGAAGATTCAGCAAACGCAGCCTGCTCTCTGCTGGGATTGCCCTTCACAATGCAGTCACTACAGAGCAAGAGCAGCTGGACGCTGCTCCAATGAAACCTCACCCCCTCCACCAGCCGCAGAGGGGGACGGCCTGGGCACATCTTGGCCTTCCTGTGGTGGCCACTCCAACATTTAGCAACCACCACCCAACAAGCAAAATGACCATAAGGAAACGCTCTGCTACTTCCATTGGTTACTGCAGGTAGGAAACCTTCTGACAGCTAGACAGTCCTTAAAATAACAATAATTTAAAAATTAAACAAAAAGGGGAAAAAAAAAGAACAACTAAACTATTCATGGATAGATGTTCCACATTATTTAAGGCCAACCTACTATATTCAGTGCTCTGCAACAGACCCATTAAGACGAACTCCACATTCCCAGAGGTGGCCAGGAGCTGGCTGTCCCCCAAGTCCCCCAAGTCTCCTGTCTTCCTGCCCAAACCCATTCACAAAGTCAAGATGAGATCAGCAAGGCCCTCAAACATTGCACACCAAACCAAAGGAAGAAATCAGAAAAACACTTTAGTGTAATTTAAAAAAAAAAAAATCAAAGCTACTTCAAAGAATCTCTAAGGGACAAAATAGCAACATTTCTTAAGGACTTATTTATTTGAAAGGCAGAGTAATAGTGACAGAGGAATCTTCCATCTGCTGATTCACTCCTCAAATGGTCACAAAATGGCTATGGCCAGGCCAGGCTGAACTCCATCTGAGTCTCCCACAGAGATGGCAGGAAATCAGTTACTTATCACCTGCATTAGCAGACAGAACAGAAACGGAGCAGTCTGAACTCACAGCAGCACTCTGAAATGGGATTCAGGTATCCTAAGCAGTGGCTTAACCTGCTGTACCACAACGACCCCTCTCCCCCAGCACCAAAATTCCAAATTTTATCCAGTTTATATCGCTATTTGGTTCGGTCTCGAGCTCCAACAAGGTTCTACATAAACAGTACTGTTAGTAAACTTAACTCTTAAGAGATACAGATGTTTTCCTTATCGTGGACATTTTATGCAGTTACTTTATCTGATTTTACAGATTTATTTTATTTTTGTTGGAAAGGTACATATACAGAAGAGGAAAGACAGAGAGAAGATCTTCCCTCCGTTGATTCACTCCCAAAGTGGCTGCAACTGCCACAGCTGAGCCAATCCAAAGCCAGGAAGAGCCAGGAGCTTCTTCCCAGTTTCCTACGGAGGCACAGGGTCCCAAGGCTTTGGGCTGTCCTCAACTGCTTTCCCAGGCCACAAGCAGGGAGCTGGATGGGAAGTGGAGCAGCCAGGACATGAACCAGCATTCATATGGGATCGTGGTGTTTGCAAGGCAAGGATTTGGCCACTGAGCCATCACACCAGGTCATCCACATTTAAATGTTAGGGCTGAGGCAAGTGTTTGCTAATCTCCCTTGCTTCCTCCAGCCATGGCCTGCCCATCTGCCCCACATCACAGGTGGCAGGAATTCACAGCCGTCTCAGTGAGCGCACTGGTGGCAGAGGAGAGGCCCTGCCTGTGGCCTCTTTACACAAGTTGATGTCTTGGTCACTCTGGTTGTTCTTCACCACCCCACCATGGCCGTTCCCAAGTACAATATCCGCCACTTGGGCCAAGTGATGTTCCACTCTAAGATGCCAGAAGGCAGGCGATGGGCTCCACGGGCAGAGAGGACAGAGGAAGGAAAATAAGCAGTGGGGTAGGCAGCCAGCATCATCAGGAGCACAAAGGGAAGTGAGAGCGCCAACGGGAACTAAGTGCACAGAGCACAGGCGGGCAGGGCACTTAGCACAGTACCCACTGTATGCTCAGTGCTGAAGGCAGGAAGACTCATGGCAACAATAACCACCAGCAGGACGGCAGCAGCACAATGACATGAGGTGCTTATGCAATTGTCAAATGCATGCAATGCCAAGAAAAAAGTTCAGAAACCACAGACTGGACTGGCACACAGAATTGGATTGAGACTTCTAGCACACAGATGGTATCACAAACAATTACAGGCAGGAGACGTGAAATACACTGCTTCTCCAGTTCTCTAAAATACCTTTAAATGGACTGTCCAGGAGGTGTTCCTGCACCAGAGAGCCGATTGCGTCACCCTCCAGCTCAAATCCCCAGACAGTCCCTTGCAGTCATCAAGACAGAGGCCAGCTGCGTGGGTTACACTACAGGAGCCATTTCCTGCTGCCTGGTGTGGGCACTCACACTCCAACTCAAGCCAAATCAAACTTTGCACCAGATGCTGTGCGATATTCCATCAGGAGTCATTCCCAAGGACCTGTGTGCTCGTCAGCACACCCTCTATGTAGGATCATGGGATTGAGGAGACAAGCACCCAAGGGACAACTATATAAGGTGGCACAGTATGAAGCCAAGCACAATCACTACAGAAGTAATTATTCTATTGTGAGTGTTTTGCTCAGAACTCCCAATTTCCTCAACTAGAACAGAACCGAAGAGCAAAACAAAATAAAATTCAAGCATCAAACAAGGTCTTAAACAGCTAAGTCTATCATTCTTTCAAATGAACACCATTTTGCAAATCTATTTTAACAGGGGGGAACAAAACACAGTATCTAATTGTCAATAATGCTTTAGGCGTATCCTTAGGAAAAAAAAAAAAACGGAAGTGGATGCTGATATTACTGAAGTGGCCAGGTTACCAAGGAAAAGACATGTCTTGGGGTAGGGGCAATGGAATTGTCACCAGTTGGCTCCAGGGTTGCCAAGCTGACCTTGAGATTCTGTATTCTGTATCCAAGGTTAGCAACAATGCCAGGTTTGCTTTCAAACAATTGCCTGCAGGTGGCAGCAAATCACCAATATTAGCATTTTAAGGTGCTGTTTAACCTAATAAAATGATGGGATTAAGAAGCAACACAAATAGGGCCCTGCAGCAGCGGTGTGGCCTAATGGCTAAAGTCCTCACTTTGAACGCGCTGGGATCCCATGTGGGCACCAGGTTCTAATCCCAGCAGCTCCACTTCCTATCCAGCCCCTGCTTGTGGCCTGGGGAAGCAGTCGAGGACGGCCCAAAGCCTTGGGACCCTGCACCCTCAAAGGAGACCCAGAAGAAGTTCCTGGATCCTGGCTTCAGATTGGCAGAGCATCAGCCGTTGCAGTCACTTGGGGAGTGAATCATCGGATGGAAGATCTTCCTCTTTGTCTCTCCTCCTCTCTGTATATCTGACTTTTCAATAAATAAATAAATAAATCTTAAAACACACACACACACACACACAAATAGCACCAGCAAAGCATGACAGTCTTGACTCTGTGTGGAAATCTGCATCACCACTGCCACTTAATGCACTCCACTTAGAGCCGAAGCTGAGCCAGGTGCTCCAAATACACAGACACGGACACACAGCACTTCTGCAAGACAGAGAACATGAGCCTTACCGGTTTTTCTAGATCTTGTCCTGCACATACACTGACAAAATAGCACTTAGGAAGGGAAGCAGAGTCTGATTTTGAAAAGAACAGACATTAATTTCTTTTTAAGATTTATTTAATTTTGCTGGAAAGGCAGATACACAGAAAGGAGGAGAGACAGAAAGGAAGATCTTCCATCCACTGATTCACTTCCCAAGTGGCCACGACAGGCGGAGCTGAGCCAATCCGAAGCCAGGAGACCGGAGCTTCTTTTGGGTCTCCCACGTGGGTGCAGGGTCCCAAGGCTTTGGGCTGTCCTCAACTGCTTTCCCAGGCCACAAGCAGGGAGCTGGATGGGAAGAGGGGCTGCCAGTGTTACAAACTGGGGCCCATATGGGATCTCAGTGCTTGCAAGGAGAGGACTTTAGCCACTAGGCTACCACGCTGGGCCCCAGACATTAATTTCTCATTCACAACATGAGAGGTGGGAAACAGAAACATTTTATAGATTATTTTATGGTATCAATAATCCCCCAAATTCTCACCCATTCGTTAGTTTTAATGTTTCTTCTCAGAATCTGATAACGCTATTTTTAAGACACAGATGAGAAAGCAAATACGGCTGATACGTATTCCCATGATGATGGGAGGCATAAACTGATGAAGAAGGCTTGCCCATACTTCAGCCAGGCTTCTTCTGAACTTTGTCCTGGCCCTTCCATGCATTTTCTTGTATGATTCAGTTTTAGCAAAAAGAACTGTGTTGAAGCCAGTTTAGCCAAAAGTCTCCACCTCACCTGGATCCTCACAGCCTCTGCCACCCTCCAGATGCTGCCTACCCTGGTAACTCAGAGACTCCTCCTCACCCCTGACGCTCCTCTTACCGATTTCCTAGCTACCGACCCTCTGCTAACAAATCCACTTGCCTGGCTGTATTCCAACTTAAATCCAACCTTTTGGGGCTGGTGCTGCGACTCAGTAGTTGGGTCCCCACCTGAGATGTCCGTATCCTGTACTGGAGTCGTGGTCCGAGTCCCAGCTGCCCAGCTTCAAGATCCAGCTTCCTGCTAATATATACTGGGAGGCATCAGATATATCAGTCCCAGGCCATGGGTTCCTGCCTCCCATATGGGAAACCAAAATGGAGTCTGGGCTCCTGGCTTCAGCCTGCTCCAGCTCTGTCTGCTGTGTGCATTTACAAAGTGAATCAACAGACAGAAGATCTCCCCTTCTGTCACTGAGCCTTCATATTATCAAACAGACAAATCTTGAAAAGTAATAGGCCTAATGTCTGTCTCCCACTGCAGGAGCAGCCCTTTGCAGTAGTCTCCACCTTATGGCAACAGTACAGAATAAAGTCTTCTATCATTTTATCTTTAACAGGTG